CAGCTCAACAACCTGGACGTAGTTGTTGCCACACAAATGCTGTGATACTTATATAGAATTGTGGAGGATTATGGACAGCGTGTGACAGGCAAGGAACACCATGATTCATGCAGCTCTCTGGGAAGAACTTGGGGGAATTTTGCCTGCTGTTTTTCCCTTTTCATTCTGACCTTAGCACTTGAGGTGAAACTGAGGTTGTGAAAGTTTTGCAGGCTACTGGGAACGTTGGGGAGTTCACTGAGAACAAGTCATTGAGCTTTTCAATACAGAAGTTATATTCCTCAAATACAGCTGTGTAGGAATAGGGAATCCTACTGAAATGTTTGGTTATTTAACCAAGGGAAAAAAAAATCTAGATTAATAACAACTGTTTATTAGAATCTGCATTTGCAAGCTATACTTTAAAGTTATCTATGCAAATGAAGGTTCGATTGATTGCTTTTATACAATATTTCATTTCACTAAGTGTTTGATTTGAAAGTTTTACTAGCCCATCTGTTTGTTCTGTCATTAATTCTCCTGCACAAATTTGGTCCATGAAATTTGCATGTCTGTCTTGTTCTCATAAGGGGATTTATGTTTTCTTAGGTCTCTGTTCTCAAAAGTGTGAATGTGATATCTTTGGAGGATCTTCTCTGGGCATTTCACATGTGTTCTTTGATAAGAACAGTTAGTTGTGACATGTGATACATCACTGTGTTGTTTTATTGAGACTATCCTGTGTAAAAGCTTAGTGTTTGCAGTTATGTTACTAGTGTTAATCCTTTTATTGTCATTTTAGTTCGGAAGAGAAGATTAGGCAGTTGGAAAAAAAAGTGAATGAACTGGTTGAAGAAAGCTGCATTGCCAACAGCTGTGGAGACTTGAAATTGGTGATTTTTCTGGATTTCACTTCATTTTTGCAATTATGTGAAATACAGTTTGTATAGATAGATGTTTCATACTGACTTGGGTTCAAATATTTCAAAATACTAAAATCATCTTAATTCTAACTTTGCTATGACTTCTAATCCAATGATACCTTGTATTGCCAAAAAAAAAAAAGTAGGAGCTGTATTTCTTGCATATATATTTGTAAGATTTCAGTGTTACAAAAACTTCCTTGGCCCTATCTCCATTGGCTGCTTCAAAAGGGTCTGATCATTTGCCCAGTCTAACCTATGGACTCTGTGGGAGTAGGTTAACCTTCTTCAGTACCAGGCTTATAGAATCATAGAACAATTTTGGTTGGAAGAGCCCTTCAAGATCATCAAGTCCAAACTTTGTCCTAGCTCTACCAACACCACTAAACCATGTCCCTAAGTACAACACCTACCCATCTCTTAAACACCTCCAGGGATGGTGACCCCACCACCTCCCTGGGCAGGCTGTTCCGATGCCTGACAACCCTTTCGGTAAAGAAATTCTTCCTAATATCCAGCCTGAACCTCCCCTGGTGCAGCTTAAGGCCATTTCCCCTTGTTCTGTCGCTTGTTACTAGGGAAAACAGACCGACCCCCACCTCTCTACAACCTCCTTTCAGGTAGTTGTAGAGAGCGATAAGGTCTCCTCTCAGCCTTCTCTTCTACAGGCTAAACAGCCCCAGAACCCTCAGCTGTTCCTCATACAAGACATGCTCCAAATCCTTTACTAACTTGGTAGCCCGCCTCTGTACCCTCTCTGTCACATCAATGTCGTCCTTGTAGAGAGGGGCCCAAAACTGGACACAGTATTCATAATTGGCATCTTTCCAGCATTTGATCCTCAGATGCATAAGAATCTTGTCTAAGGGATATTCAGTTTCCTTGGTGTTGCTTGGGCTTTTTGGATAATGTAATTTTCATTCAGGACTGGTGCTTGGCACCAGAGTCAATCTCACTTAAGCCACCTTCACAGTACCCTTCCGTGCCAGGGGCTGTCCGGTGCTATAGCATGTCGTAGACACTATATTGCTTTTGTTGCACCGTAAGGGGTCAGCATCAAGATGAACTGTTTCATCTTCTTTCAGTCCTTCAGACAAGGGGACCTTCCCAGCTAAGCAAACCCTAACATGCAGACACCAATATCCTTCATGGGACAGTGGCAATATAGCATGTTGATCTTGGGTTCCGGTGTGTCAAAATATTTTCTTTCTTAGGACCAGGCTTATGTTTTATTCCATATGCTTTGGACTGGCCAGCTCCAGCTCCTAATCTACTGGAGGCAGAGCAGGCTCAACTGTTAGAATTAATGATATACATCAGGTTCTTAAGGACGTAGACCCTTTGTGCTCATCTGTTGCTCTCTCAAGTTGATGGCATCTCATCCATAAGGGGAAAAAAGTAACTAGAGCTATGAGAGATGATGTTTCTTGCTCAGTCATCTGAGCTGCAAAATTTTTTAGTCCAGTGTATTCTGAGGAGGTATTTTTAAGAGTACTTCAGTCATCTGAGCTGCAAAATTTTTTAGTCGAGGAGTGTATTCTGAGGAGGTATTTTTAAGAGTACAAGAATGGGTAAAGCATCTTTCCTCACTGCTCAGTACTGATTATTATCACTGATCTGATACAGATCCTAGGCTAGATGGCGTTTGATTTGATCAAATTCTCATATTTTGGAGACTAAGAGCTCCAAAATTCATTACAAAGAGTGCAAATAGTCTGTAATGGTCTGAGCCTTGCTACAAATTGGGAAAACGGCACTGTTTGTCCATTGTACAGAACATCTATATTAGTGAATCAATCAAAAGGTTTGTAAATTGTAGCATGGTTACCAGCACAGTTTTGACCTGGGCTAAGTAGCATTTTTTAAACAGTTCCTAGACATGGTCGAAGGTTACTAGGTGTAAGGAACTATTTCCAATAGGCAGTTTGAATGTATTTGGTCTGTAGTAGAGGGTACTAGAGCAGTGTTGTGCAAGTTAGTAGTGGCTAAATAACAGACTCTAGCCCATTTGATTTACATCTAGAGTAGATGTAATTAATTCAAGCTGTTTGGAAAAGTTAGCACTTCTAATAAATGTTGTCTTTGTCTGGCACAAATATTTTTCTGTCTGCAGTCTGATTTAGATCCTTTCAAATGTCTCTTTAGATTTTGTGAAAAATGGTGGCTACAGCATCATTTAATCTTACCTCAGCTGTCTTAATGTAGGGATAGTCTTAGCTGCAGTTTGGATCTGTTAAGCAGCATATATCTTTTGATAGGTCATCTTTGTTCAGAATCTTTGTCTTTGCATTGAGATCTAGAATTCATTCAGCTCTCGTGAGCTGCACTGGACCCAGTGACAGTGACGGCTTTGTTGGAGGGACTTTATATTGTCCAGTGCTCTTCACACATGGTGAAGGCCTCCTTGCATCTTTTATGCAAGGTGATACTGTGTGCCTATGTGATACTTCTTGTCAGCCTACATAGGTTATCCTTACAATCTTACCTGTATTTGGCTGATTTCTTAAGTAGTAAACCTTTATTTGCATGTTTCAGGCCTCCTGTAGGGGAGATATTCCCTATTACAGTGTCAGGATCTGCCACTTTGTAGAGAAATACCTAGTGTTTCATTAAGAAGCATACCTGATTCGAGTGTTTCTTCTCTCTTTTAAGATAGCTGTTTACCTTTGGAACTAGTACAGCAAGATGTATTTTTCTTGTCAATGATTTTGTCATGTGTAGTGAGAACACTTTCAAATACAGACTGTGACTGGAAGATTCCAGTTGTCTTGAGGACTGCCTTTCAGGGTGGGTAACGCCCCATATCTTTTTGCCTACTACCACCAAGCAGCATTATTTCTATTGCTTTTGAGAAAAAAGCTGTCCCAGCTCTCTGAATACATTCTTGTTTCTCTGATCAAAAGGCCTGGTATATGCCTTGTTTCAGTCTGTGCAGCAATTCCAGTGATCCTGATCAAATTAAGACAAGATGGAACATTGATCATCTTGATTGTGATAGGTCTGCCTAGACAGTTCTGATACCAGGTTGATACTGTGCTGTGTGAGGACTGCCTTTATGCTTGTGCCTGCTAGGATAACCGTCTGGAACCCTGGTCTACCTTGCTGCCTTTATGCTTGTGCCTGCTATAGGATAACCGTCTGGAACCCTGGTCTACCTTGGTCATATTCCTTTCCAATGATTTTTGGATTATCTGTTGACCTTGTAGCCCGATAGCTCCTTCGGAGAGAGGGATTTCACTTATCATATCTTTGCCTAGCAGCCCACAGTGTAGGGAGTTTTCATTCCTTGGGGAATTAAGAAGGCTTCTAGTAGTGAAACTCTGAGTCCCAAAGTAGGACTTAAGGCTGGTGTATAGACTGGATGGGTCTGCCCTTCAAGCCAACAAAAATCCTATTATGCTGCACTTTTGTGACAATTTTTTTTTTTGCTGCTGCTAGCTTTTGATCAGAGAGTATGAAAGAAGTTATCCGTTTATTGAGTTCATTTAGGATAAATATCCTTACAGACCTATCCAAACTTATTTCTGATATAATGTCTGAATTTCACCTTCCCTAGGAGATGTGCCAGTCTGTTTTGTTAATTTTTCTTGAGCCTCTTGCATATATGGCCAAGAATGTTCTTGGTTTCTTGATGTCAAAGGGTTGTTTCTTATGTAGATTATACCAGACCATTCTGAGGGTCCTCTAGGGTGGTTGTGTTAATTTCTGACCAGTCCAGCAGAATATCCATTTTCCTGCAGAAGTCATCAAAGTTGCCAAGTTGGATTTGCCTCCTATTAAAAGGACTAAGAATCAAGCTGTATCTTGAGAAGTACTTCCTTCGCTACTAGCGGCCAAACAGCTACCTCGCGTGCTAGCCATTGCTTTTTTAATCATTGCGCCCTTGCAGAGGCATACAGGGCTGCTGATGGTGTTTGTAGACCCATAGCATTACTTGTACAAAGGATCTTGACGCCAATCTGCAGATTATCTTCGGATAAAATAATTTTGGAGTTACTGAAAGTGTACATGTGAATGTACATGTAAAATACCGCTTGTGGATAGATAAAACAGGGAAGCAATTTACAGGCATCCAGAATTAGTCAAGGTATACGTAAAGCATACATTTGGGTAACATGCATGTTCCTGCCTTCATTTTCTTCCTTCCAATGTCGCCTTACACTGGAGTTCTGCAACTAAGGAAACATGCCAAGCCTAAAAGCTCTCTCTTTTTTTCTTTTTTCTTTTTTTTTTTTTAACATTTATGTCCAGTTTCTCTAGTGCACTAGAATAATCTACTAGGGTCACTATAATCCAGTGATTATGGCGTGTGTATGTGTGTGACTGTAACTCTCTAAAATTATGCAGTTAAGCAGACATAGGCAACTGTATGTCTGTATTGCTAATTAACACCTTTCTGTGGGTTATATTACGACTTTTCAGCCACTGGGTACAGTCTGTGCAGCTGAAGAAAATGGACATGAGTATATTCTTTTCATACTTGTTTTGAATATATTTTTGTCATCTTGGATTAGTGAGATTCAAGGCATTGCTAAATTCTAGTATTTTATTTAAGGCTCTCGAAAAAGCAAAAGAGGCTGGAAGAAAGGAAAGAGTATTGGTGAGACAACGTGAACAAATTGCTACTCCAGAAAACATCAACTTAGACCTCACTTACTCAGTAAGTACTTGGAAATCGTCAACGAGTGAAACAGGTTGGTAAAAAACCTCCTAAAGAGGCATTTCAGTGTTTGCTGAGTGTATGTGCATTGTAATGCTCCTAGCAGTGTACCAGATCAGATAATGGTCTATGTTTGGGAGTGGGGGAAGTTTATGAAGATAAGTGAATGGTTTCTTAAAGTTAAAAACTGAATATTGCATTGCAAAGATCAGTTGATATAATTGAGTCTGTTCCCTTGCAATCTCAAGTACCATAAAAACCACATAGTCAACATTAAGTGAAGAAGGATGCCCCTGAACATGTATTCCAGCTATCTACTTGCATGCAAACATGCATATCAAAATATAAGAGATGTAACCCTGTACTTCAAAAATAAATTGTCTGGAAAATGTAACATGTCAAGAAAAGAAAGGGAGAGAGATCAAGTTAAAGACACTGCCTTTAACTTGAACCATAATGTAACAGAGAATGTATTACATGAAATAGGGTATGTTAACATTCCTAAATCCTGAATCTTAAAGTAGGTATCTAAATTTACATTCTGGGTTTCAAATTAATATTGGACTTTTTTTAAAAGAAAGGATACAACAACCATAAAAATACTTAGGGGAATTTAAAGTTGTACTCCAGGTAGTGCTGTAGAGAAATTATTCACAATGAATACATTGAATTAGGCAGATGTAGTAATTTATTTTATGGTGAAGGTCAGAGTAAAGCTGGGGAAAAAACGTGGAGGTATTTCACCTGGCACCCACGGAACTTCTGTTTTGAAACAGCAGTTTGGAAGAATTCTGTCTTTGTAAGCTGAGTGACCACAGGTAGTAGGACCATTTTCCACATGTTGGGAGTCATAAATTACACGTAGTTTCCAAGAATTATCTTGTATGAATTTTTTTTAATAACCTTGCATTATAACGTTGTGTTTACTTAAGTCTAAGGCCCACTTAGCATGGCTTTTAATGGTAGTTATTTAAGTACAAAAATAAAAGAATTAACTGGAATAAGTAGATTTGGAACTTGTTTTCTCTATGTCGATGGACAAGAACAAGGGAGCATTGAAGGCAGGAAACTTAAAACTGGTAAAAGCAGTATTTCCAAGGTAAAATTAATCTGAAATTATCTGTTATGAATTAAAGTTTATTACTGTGGAGAGAACAATGTATTTTCTTGTACTTATAATTCCATTTTTCTATAGGTTCTTTTCAATCTGGCCAGTCAGTATGCTGCTAATGAAATGTATGCTGAAGCACTGAATACTTACCAAGTTATCGTGAAGAATAAGATGTTCAGCAATGGAGGTAGGTTACATTCCAAAGTGGATTAAAATTGGTATTCAGGCATTCAAATTGAGGACTTATTCTGCATTCTGTTGGCTTATGGAGATCTCCACCCTCGTGTCTGCCAGTCAGAGTGGATGACAGATACTCATGATTTCTGACTTGGTGCAACTTGATGTGGTTTGGCTCCTGGCTCATGAAGTCTTTTCTTTCCATAGGCTGAGCTAAACATAAAGCCAAATATGTAGTTTTCTCATGCCGCACACACGAAGTTGTCTACTTTAGCGCTATTTTTTTTCCTGTTTTTGACTCAGCTTTCCCCTTCCGAAAGCTTCCTGTAGTATTTTGCACATCTTTGAGACTCCTGCAGCGCACTTTTCTCAAAGATGCTTATTTGCAGCTGTCTTCCTGGAGAACACTATAAAGAATCTCTACCTCATCCCTCAATTCACAATCAAAATCAGAATCCATCTTATGTGATGGTTCATTTCTAGGTTTCATTACTACTTCATCTCCTTCTGGGTGAAAATTCACAGAAGGCTGTTCCATGCAGTGCTTCTTTAAAGGGACACTGGTACCCTATAATGAAGACAAATTTATTAAGAAGTTGTTCTGCTCTGTCACTTTGAAACAATTTAAAAATACTGTAATTATGCTTTGAAAGGCTGTAACTCATTGACTTCTTTTGATAGGTAGACTGAAGGTCAATATGGGAAATATATATTTAAAACAACGGAACTATTCCAAAGCTATCAAATTCTACCGTATGGCTCTAGACCAGATTCCTAGTGCCCACAAAGAGATGAGGTAAGTTTCTGCTAGTAGGCATGGTTCTGAAATACAGGTTTTGGCTATAGTATGATTTGATAGTTAAAAATATAACCTAATCCTGATTTCTTTACTTAGGATTAAAATAATGCAAAATATCGGAGTTGCATTTATTAAAACCGGCCAATACGTTGATGCCAGTTCTTCATTTGAACACATAATGAGCATGGCCCCCAACCTGAAGGCAGGCTTCAACTTGATCCTATGTTATTTTGCTATTGGAAATGGTGAGCAAATGAAAAAAGCCTTCCAAAAACTGATTGCAGTTCCCTTGGAAGTGGATTATGATGACAAATACACTTCACCAAATGTAAGTTTGAACAACCTAAACTATGTATGTTTGAACAAAAGAAACTGTCTTTACGTGGTGAATCAGGAGAAAGGGGGAGAGACATTGAATGCTTGGACTGTACTGAATATGTACATTTATATGTATTTATGCATCTAAAATAACTTTTACCAGCATGAACTTAGTGTGGCAGTACTACTCAGAAGTGTAAAATAATGTTGAGAACATTCAAATCCTTTTTTACTCAAAAGATATGATGTACATAAAATCCACATCGCACAGTTGTCTCCATAATGATTTTGTTGAAATTCATCTGGGCTAACTTACATAGCTCGGATACTGCTTTACCTCCTGTAATTTATACAAAATTTTCATAAAATATTTACAAGCTAAAATAAAGGGAGCAAAGCAATGAGTGAGTTAGTGCAAGAGATCTCAAATGTGGGCTAATAAAACTTGTAATGCTGTAGTGTTATTTTACAGAAGAAACTTTCAGTAAAGTTTACAGATGCTTATTTTAGTTTATTAGACTTCGTTGGAAACTGGACTTCCTTTGTACTGTGAAACCAGCAGCTCATGATGTTAAAGACAGGAAAAAGTAATTCATAGGTTTATGGTTCCCCCTTCGAAAGATCCTCTATAGAAAGATCAAGGCACACCCCCTATGTTCTCTTAGCAATCTTCTTTTCAGTGATGCAAAGCTTCCATTTTCAGTCCTAAAGATCAAAGATATAATTAGTCTTCAGACTATTTGCAGCTTAAGAATAGCTGTTGCTTCCTATTGTCCACACATAAACAAATAAAATTTAATAGATGAAGCATATATATTTATATTTATCGATAAATATGCATGTAATTTCTTATCTATATATTTACATATAATTGAATACATATATAATTTTTCATATTAGAAATTATGTAACAGAAGGGGTTATTAAACACTTGAATTAATTGCAAGCTAAGATCATTCATTGGAAGAAAAGGTTTAGACTGGAGATGTTCCTTCCAAGGAGAGGCAAGCTATAGTTTTAACAGACATTCCAACTTCTGTATTTTGCTATGAAGAAGTCAGAGAAAAAATCACAAAATTTCCTTCTGGTCTTTATTTTGTATAAATCTATGATCTGTCCCAAATAAATAAGGAAGGGTGGCCACCCAGCATAGCTGCGCTAGTCCTTTTAGAACTAACAGAGGTGTGTGATAGAAACCACAAGATGATCATGTGAGTTACTGTAACGAGAAGGTGGCACAAGTCCTCATCTGTTGAATATCTCTGCCTTTCAGCAGATGCTGAAGTGTGCTCTTGTTTTTAAGCATGTGAGTATTCTCGCTGTGATTTGTAGCCTTCCCAGTCTGATACACGACATTAACTACACCTGTTAACAACCCTAATGTGAGCTATGACCACATACACGGGCAGAAAACCAGGATTAAAGTAGTTCTAGTGCCAAATTTCAGATTTTATGGTTAGAAAACTGCTTAAACTGAAGCTAGCTTCTTGAAATGTGAAAAGGAAATAACTGACATTGTAGACAATGTAACTGACATCAATTTGTTTACAACCATGTTGTCTATAAAATACTTAAAATGCATGTATACTGGCATAACTTGCAGTTGTTTTGTCCCCCTCCAGGACGACCCACATACGAATCTACTGATTGAAGCCATTAAAAATGACAGCTTAAGACAAATAGAACGTGAGAGGTAACGGTGGAGTCTATTCTTCCTTGACTGTTGTGGCCAGGAAAGTATTATCGGTCATCTTGCACGTCCACAGCTCTTGTTATAAAAGTGTCCTCATAATTCTTAGGAAAGAGCACACTTGGAAGAACCATTTGGATCACTCGGTGTACTGTACTGCACTAAAGTAGAATATCCACCCCAAATGCTGTAGGTCACACTGCTTAAAACTTGCAGCATTGTTTGTTTTGTTTTTTTTTTAAATACAACTACAGTGTGCAGTGAAAAGAAAACAGAAAAAACTTGAGAGCTTTATCAAGTTACAGGGCAGTGGTGGTAGCAGGGCACTGGTTAGATGGAAATCTAAGATTGTCCTGAGTGCAGGGAGTAGCAAGAACAACATTTGATTATTTTTTCCATATACGTTTTTGAAGTAGTGACATGTTTGTGTGTTGGGTTTTGTGTTGTTTTTCTGTTAGGAAATCCATGGCAGAGGAATACATCATGACAGCTGCTAAACTCATTGCACCAGTAATTGAGACATCTTTTGCAGTGGGCTATGACTGGTAAGAGTCAAGCAGGGCTTCTTGTTGTCTAAACTATATGCCAGTGTCTCATGCTGGTTATGAAATCAGATTCACAAACAAAACCAGTCTGGGAAACACTGCGGCACATCTCAAACACAGCGTCAATGCTATTTTCAGGTTGCCTCCATAGTGCTGTGTAGAAGAACAAAACAAAGCATTAGAGTCTGTTCTCTGTTAGATATTAATTTATCATTGAAACTCAACTGGTAATTATACGTTTTGAGCTGTTCCATATTAGCACAAAAAGATCATCTTGATGTTCTGTCGAATTTGAAAATTGAAGAAATTTTAGAAGGGCAATGATCGCTGCTCTTTACTGTAAGTGTGCATAAAACATAATGAAGACTTGGGGTGCCCTAAGAAGTTTTCATTGCTCCATAGAGTCATTATATAAAACACTGGAATCTAAATATTATTAGAAAGGTTTATTTGCATTTAATTTATAAACTTTAATGTTTATAAATGTAAACTTAATCTACTATTTCTTAAATATTTATACAAGTGTATACAGTGATACTTTGCTGACACAGTTTATAATTTTGACTTTTGTATCCACTTTTTCAATTTACAGCTTAGCTTTTGCTTTCTGTGGTATTATCTACAGCAGAATACTCTTCTTTAAAACAAAACAAAATAGACACACTTCCTCTAAGGACAGTATAAAAATGATTAGTATAACTTTTCAAGACATACTTTTAACCAGTTTTTAGTTTTATATTATAAAGACTTTGATATTTTTAGTATTTTTAATAATGTTATTGGAAAATGTGCACAAATAAATGTTGTTTGGCCATACCCACAACATTACTAACAGGTATGTTCAGCGTTTGGGAGGTGAAGGAAGTTTGATGGGAAAAAGAGAACTTTCCTTTACCTGTTTGGGTTTTTTTTTTTGGCCAGTTAGGATTATTTTCAAATTTTGCAGGTCCTATAATTATAATTTACTAATAAAACTGTTTACACTAACATGCAATAATCTCTTACACAAGACATGTTTAGTCTGCTAGAGCCCACAAGGTGGTGTTTGATGGTTTAATAATCATTATAACCTTAAAATATCTCTACTCTTGCCACTCTGACTTATCAGAACTTAAACAGTATGTCTTGTGAAAATTACCTTGCTGCTTTATAACTTCTTAGCATGAGTAAGTCAGACTTGTTTGCTCTTGTGTTTTTGTTCAGAAACTGGAAAAGGTTGTCATATTCAGTTTCCTTAGTGCTATCCACAAAACATTTGTGATGAAGTAAACCACTCTGATCTGTTCTGGCTAATTAAAAAACTTCTGGTGAGATGTGTGGGATTTGCTTTCTGTTCTTCTAGGCTGAGGTGTTCAGGCCCAGTGAAGAAGTTTAACCAGCAGTTTGAGCTTGGTTTTCCAGATACTCTGCTTTGCTATGAGTCCTCTGAGTATTAAACGTGCTTTTAATCAGATTAATGTTATTTACAGAGATAAAGTGGGGATAAATAAGCTTCAGATTTCATAACTTCTTACTTAAAATGTGACATAATCTTGGGACTGTTCTTTCATAGTCCATAAGGAACAGTTAGATAGTTAGATCTCATGGTTAAAAGATCTTAAAAGTAACAGTTGAAAACTGTTTTTTGACTTTTTTAATAGCAGATGTCTTTGCAGAAATTGCTATTTTTTTCAATATATTTTTTCCACCAATATCAAAAGGCATTTGTATACTTTGTATAGAGACTGTTCATGTGCCTACCCAATTATAGTAGCAAGCAGTTTGTTAAATTAAACTTTTGTTGGCAAATTAGCCAGCTATTAGAAGAAAACAAAAAGGCCTTCCACCAGTTTAATCCCTTCCGCTTTTTTTTTTTTTTTAATAGAAGCATCCCAGAAAGTTGTTCATTTACTGTGCTTAATTCCAAACAGTTTGAGAGAACAGTATATGCATACAATGAATAAAGGTCTGGCTTCAAATGATTAGGTAATTTTAAAGTACACCACATCAAACCCTGGAAGATGGTGTCAGTGAATTGACATCTGAACTGTCTGCTCTGTTCTGTTCTGCCCTCATTTTGCAGAAAACCCTAAGCCAAAAGTAACTCCAGGATGACCAGAAAGAGGTTTATTATTATGACTTTATTATTATTATTACGTAGCTCGGGGACACAATCTGCAGCCTCTGGCTTTGTTCACTAAGCTGGTTTATGGGTGTGGTACTGTATGCAACAGGAGATCAGGTTTGATAGAGTTTATCCAAAGAAAATGGTTTGAAAAATTATCTTAGTCAAAACCTGACATCAAGTATCACTCAGTGTTGGAAAATAACATGGTATTTAGGCAGCTGACTTAAAAAAAATCAGAGCAGAGATAGTAATATTAAGGTAGGTTGTGGGAATAAAATGTTCTTTCAAATATTTTTAATCAAAGTGCTCTTTGCCTCTGTAAAGAAAGAATAGCTAAGAACAACTCATTTTGGAAAGCGAATGGCTGCCTCAGTGTGTAAAAAGTGGCGTTTGCACAGATGCATTTTGTTTATCTTTATGGCTTGCTTTCTGTTGCAGGTGTGTTGACGTAGTCAAAGCTTCCCACTATGTTGAGTTAGCTAATGACCTGGAAATAAATAAAGCCACTACTTACTTGAGGCAGCAGGATTTTAACCAGGTATAGTAACTTTTCACATTACTGCTTTTTAATACTGTATTGGCAAAGGTATCTTTCTTAGCCACAGCGTAGTTGTCAGCAAGTGAAAGAATGATTTATGCAAACATAATAATTGCACTGATGCTGCTCAGTACAATAACTTTATAAAAACACTGGTAAGAGATGAGTTTAATCTAATTTCTGCCACAGAAGTAACAGTGAATGCAGTTCATGTCAAAATTAAGACACCTCAATTTAGTTACCTTCACTGGGTGTCCAGGCTGCCATTACAGTTAATAGAACTGCAGTCCGTGCGGTGAATGGAGGCTAGGAAGCACGCTGCCAATCAACGTGGAGGTGTTTTCATTTAGTATGAGCTGAATCTTTCTCTCGGGTTGACTGTAGTACCAAAATACATGCAGATGCACTTCATATGTATCATTGTTGTTAGGTATGGTATTCTCACTGTTCCCTATGTACTACAGCGTTCCCTAAAATACTATAACCTGACCTTGAACTTCAGTCAGCCTTCCTATCCTTCCATTGAAATACAAACTGGAATTAAATTAAGCATCTGCTCAGGAGCTTGGACAGTTCTGCATCTCTCATAAAAGATTGCCCCCCTGGAGGGCACAGCGGGCTAGGATGAATTGCTGTTACTGAAAAGATATTACAGCAGTTTAAGCCACAGTGTATCTTGGCAAAGGAGGAAGGTCATAGAAATGACACAGTATTGGTACTTCCAAGTAAAAGTACAGCTCATTGCTCAAAATTCATTAACTGGAAGAAGTTCAGAAGATATACCAAAATCTTTGTGATTTTACAGTTTTTATCATGCATATTATTACAAGTTCCCTTTTCATTGTTTTGTTATATTTTTAAATGTACATGTGAAGTAACTTTTGGCTATGTTGAAATTATTTATGTATGTTTGTTTACGTGGGTAAGATGTCTTTCTGCAAGTGGCCATCCAATCGCTAGTTAGACAAATTTCTGCTGATGACTTTTGTGCTGAACTGCCTTCATGTTAAAAATCGTCACCAATCTCTTGCTAATAAGTGCAGCAGGCTGTTAAGTGCAGCAGGCTGTTAACTGTAGCTTTCCTTTTCTACACATGTAAATTGCCAATGTAGGTGTATAAATGAATACCACAACTTAACTATGTTTCAGTTTTTGGTGTTATCTAAGTGAATGTGCAGCTTCCTTGTAATGTTTTACTTTAAGACAAATGCATTTTTTTTCCTGTTAATCAAATTTTTATAAGTTGTGGGACAATTTATAATACCAAGTTTTTGTCAAAATTGGTATGTCATCTTCTGCCTGTAAAAAACAAACAAACGAACAAAACAAAAAAACCCCAACCAAACCCCCCCCCCCCAAAAAAAAACCAACCCACAAACAAAAACAACAAAAAAACCTGCTTGGTTTGAAATGTGAGCAGTTGGAGAACAGCTTTGTCTGAACAGAAAGGAGCTCAGGTATCTGACAAGATTCTCTCAATTTCCTTCTAACATGCACTGTTTGGTACATTCAGTGGTAGGAATATTGAATAAATAGGAAGGAATATAGCAACCCCCAGGTTTGCACGAGTGGCAGGAATTATGAGAGATCATATACTGCCAACTTACAGCTGAAGCTGAATACCTCTGTCATCTTCTAAGGTCCTTCACCTTCCCATAGCTTGGAGGGATGCACACAGGGCCCCATGCTTAACTTTAGCCCACTTTGCCTTCTCATGTTTAAGCTCTTCTGTTTTCCTGAGCAGTTCTTGTTCCTTCTGTGCGTCCTGTCCTCTTCTCCTTCCCTGTAGATATAGCAAGAGAGTTATCCTTTATTGTACTGCATGTCTGACTGATAGCTTTTCTGAGATCAGGAGGCAGCTTGAGAGTTTGAAAAATTTTGTTCAAATCTAGTAGCTTTATTGATGATAGCTTTTGAAGAGTGACAGTGTTACAGGTAGGTAAAGTCATATGATCTCAAGAACTTACTATTTTGTTGGTAATTTTTTGTGATTTCCAGTTACTATACAGTATACGTTTTTTAAAAAAAAAAACAAACCCAACACAGTTCTCAGAAGTAAAATGGGATACAGAGATTGTTGGTGGTGTTTCTGTGGAGTACTCAAATGGAGGGAGAGGAGAGGGTGTTGGAAGTTAGGAGTAAGTAGAGAAGATGATCTTTTTATTGTGATTATGTGGTAGAAGATCTTTAACCTGCACTGGAACCACTTAATAGTAGAGTGGGACTGCAGAATGGTGATTGCAGAGAGTCTTTTTTGTTGTTGTTGTTGTTCTAATAAAACTGCAGCTGCCTCTTACTCATCCTGTCTGCCTGTTTTTCATATACTTACTAACTCACCACCTGCTCAACACACCTTTGGCTGAAGAACAAGAATAGAAACTTTTTGAAATACTCAGTTTCAAGGCTGAAAGTTTTATTGTGTTTCAAAAAAAAGAACTAAAATAGATTTCTGCTGTAACTATAATGGACTTAACTATTTGCTCATCATAATGAAGATGTTATTTTAAAACAGTCCTTGAAAAAAACATTCAGGGTGGAAATTACCATGCTATGTCTAGATTGTATTTTATTAGAAAGGGGTTTTGTGTATTAGATGTTTTGAATTTGTTCTTAATTTCAAAGAAAAATTTTGAAAATTAATTTAAAACCAAAATTCTGCAGATTAGCCATGTAACTCCTTAACATTCTGGCAGACCCTGCTTTGAAGTTTGACTTCTGTAAGCAAATAATGTAGGCACATTGGAAACATGTCACAAAGAGTAATTTGAACAATGTATTTCGATTGTTGAATCTAATCGTTATTGTTGGGATTAAAAAGTTAGAAGTTAGTTATAAATATATAAATTCAGCTGATGAGACAGTGAAAGCATTTCTGCTTGGCAAGGACAAAAGGAGTATTGCTATGGATTTTTATCCTAGGGCTCGTAATTGCTGAAATGGTCCAAGAGATCTACAACATAATTCACCAGTACACGAAGAGAGTTCAGAGTCATACAAACTTTCCAGTATACATGAAAAAGAGATTGCTTCTACTCTAATCTTTATTGTGAAAGGTGCCAGTAAAAGCAAGGTAAACAAATCAGCTACAATGGGAAATGGCTTTTCCGAAAGTGACCGAACGATGTAGCTCTAAGTTCACCAAAAATTAATTCCATCAAGAAGCAAGTCTTTGCTTAAGAGTAGGGCCCCTCAGACATAGTAGTGTTACGTCTGTAAATACGTGGGACCATTCCCTTTTTGGAGAGTCACAAATAGATACAAAGCTTAAAATTATCATAGTCGAAGTCTTACATTTCAGAGACCGTAAAATCTAGAGTCTAACTTTTGAAATGCTTTTCTTGATTGAAATTGGTGTGTTTCTTTAGAGAATTTCTATTATTAGGAGAACACTGTGATCTTTAGTAGTTGATAGTTCTTGGGTGGAATGTAGTTGACTAAATCAGTGAACTACATCTAGCTGTATATACTTTGTCATTTTACACATCATTAGTACAGTCATGGGTTTTGTGTAAAGTAACTGTAAAAACCTTATGTATGACAGACAAACAAAACTTGTTTCCTTTATGCTTGTTTTGGCATTCCACATACAGCATCATGCATTCACTTTGATATATAAACAGCAGCTTATAGGTTTCATGTAAAGGAAGAAGCAAACTTTTGAATTCCTAGTGCTAAACTGAGGTTGTCACATCTGTGTTGTAATAGATGACGGAACTGGGCTCACAGTTTGTGTAGTTAATATAAATATTTAGTGTAAAGCAGCCAGATTTTCTCAATGATTTAGTCTACGATTACAAATATTATCCCATAGTCAATGAAAAAAAAAGCTGCCTTTTATTTCAAAGTTTCTTTGATAGTTTATTAGCTATAAATTTGTTTACTTTGTCCATAAACTTCTTTATTTTGAAGCTTATGGAATTTAGTTCTCATGTAAAAGTTTAAAACAAAATCTTCTGGCCTCAGTCTTCACGTTTGAGTACTTCCTAAACTTAGACAGGTGTCATCTTCTTATGGCACAAACCAACTGCAAGTTGAAATCCAATCCTACACTGTCTTGCGTATTTTTTTTTATATAGGTGTACTTTTTTGGCTTTTTAGTGAGCAGAAAAGGACTGACATTAAAACTCTGAAAGAACTAGAAAAATAGGTATAAGAATTTCAATTAGTTGATTAGACTAAAAGCAAATAATATAAACTTGTGTTTTGTATGTATGGAATTGTCAGATATCTCTGTACTTCAAGGTAGCCATATCTAATCTAAATTTTGAAGAAGTAATAAATAGCCAATACTATTAAAATTTTGTGGTCAAGATTTATATTATGTATAATATAGATATACTTCCATGTGTACATGCTTACAAGCATGTGTTACAAGCTGTAGTAATTGTCATGTGAGTGTATGAGTTGATAGCTTTAGCTGTTTGCTACTGTGAAGTTTATCAATGCTTTCTGAAAGAATTGTGGTGTAAGTTTTTGCTTCAGTGGGAAGTAAGTTGTTTTCAAATTACTTCTAGGCACTGGAGACTTTGAAAATGTTTGAAAAAAAGGATAGCAGAGTAAAGAGTGCAGCTGCAACAAACCTTTCATTCCTTTATTATTTGGTAAGTATTCGCTTCAACAAAACCAGGTAGAAACTGCAGTTTATGTAGCAGCTTCTGTATCTGCAGCGATTTTTGTGTCTGTCTAAATAATCTCTGTAAACAACAAGGAACTGCATGTGGAAGGAGTTACTCTGGAACACTCGTTCTTGGCTGTAGTTGGATTTTGGAGCATGTCCTTTGTATACTGTTGCTGGGAGGAAGAGTGAGATTGAGCCCCAGGCCAGGGAAGGACGCCTGCAGCATGATTTGTGCAGAAGCTCAGCAGCTGTATTTAAGACTCGGGTCCTGAAGACCCTGGCTGAACTTCAGGAACATATGAAGTTTAGGCCAACGGGTTTGTGTATGAAGTTTGTAGGGTATGGGGATTTATTTTTGTTTTTTAAAGAAATGCTAGTTTGTTGCAACAAAGAAAACTTCCAGAATGGGGCAGAGTGGCAAAACACGCCCTCAAGTGTTAACTTCTCTGAAACTTGAAAGAGATGATCTGCCTCATGCAAATACATAAGGAGTATTTTAGGACTGAAGAATGTATTAATATTTTCCATCCTCAATCTTTTGAAATCCCACTATATTAACTGTAAGAAGCCACAGCTGCAAGAAAATTGACTGACTAATACAATGTTTGTTTTGTTCATGTAGGAGAACGAATTGGCACAAGCAACTAACTATGCAGATTTAGCTGTAAATTCTGATAGGTACAATCCAGCAGCTCTAACTAACAAAGGAAATACTGTTTTTGCAAACGGAGACTATGAAAAAGCAGCTGAGTTTTATAAGGAAGCTCTCAGGAACGATTCCTCATGCACTGAAGCACTTTATAATCTTGGTAAGCCAAAGGTGCTTTTGTGATTTAGCTTTTGTTTAAAGGTAACACTAGTGTTTCATAGAATCTGGCTTTCAAAGTTTTCTTGTATAGAAGTATATATTAATTATTATTACTTTATTCAGTAATTTCTGTTATAGCAGGGTATTTGTACTTCTTATCTTTTCTGCCAAAAACTACTGATGTTAGCAATATCAACTAGTAATTGCAGATGATTAGGTCACTTTGAAGATAAAAATTTCTACTACTACCTACTAAAGACATGCCATTTTTACTATTAAACCATCAGAGTCATTCCCCTCTAAAAGCCCTCCCTTTCCCTCATTTGTCTGGTTCAAAAAGTGAGATTACATGTTCTTGGTCTTCGATTAGGTTTGTGTTCCTTGTGTTTATCAGTATCGTAAGTCATACTAGCTGGTGAGAATTGTAAGTGTGGCCGTCATGAACAGAGTCTGTCAGTGTCAAGGCAGTTACACTGCCTCTGAGTACAGTGTTCCTATTTCATTTTTCTTGGTGATTCTGTCAGTTAACATGCTGAAGTCTCATTTTTTTCTCATTGCATTAATACCATAACCTTTATTTTTTAGGTTTAACATACAAGAAGTTAAACAGAATAGATGAAGCTTTGGATTGTTTTCTGAAACTCCATGCAATCCTTCGAAATAGTGCCCAAGTCCTTCACCAGATAGCAAACATGTATCCTTTTCTGGATTAGGATAAGGGATGGTGGTTTTAGTAAACTCATTTAATCTGCAATTAATCTGTATTTCCATCATGACACAACGACTTAGAAATTTACTGTGGTGTCCACTGTAATTAGGATGACCACGCCTGGGTTCATTCTCTGATGTTTGTGGAAATGAGAACAAGATCTTAGAACCTTCTTCGACGTTTCCAGTGAAGCAAATGAAGAAATAAGACTGTTCACATTGCAGGGAATACATTTACACTCAGTATTAAATTGTGTCCTGGAAAATTAAAAAAGCTGCTGAATTTTATTATGAAAATAATGTGGCAGATGTAAGCACAGTTGTGTAAAACCTTTAAGAAAAAAATAATATAGTTAATGAAAGTGAAGTTCTGTTCTGAAAGCTGTTTTCAGATTAGTTAGTCTATGTGTAAGAAAATAATTGTGTCCCAGCACTGCAAAAGCTCAACAGATTGAAAAGCTGAGGAGGAGAGGGGTTGGCTTTGCACATCACCAGCGATGTTCTACACTATGAATTTCTTTACTAATGCTTCTGAGGATGTGCAATCCATAATAAAATCCTCCCCAAGGCAGAGCAGATTCTAGTTGCTGTACCACACTTTTAAGAATAGTGAAGGTAATAAAAAATATATTTTAGTCAGTAAAATAAGTAACCTCCAAAAACACAGAAGGGCTGTGATCTCTATTCCTTGTGTAGTCCCTTTACAACAGCACAAATGACTCTCCAGCTCCCATTTCCCATCTGGGGGAGAATTTCTTTGTTCCACTGCTGTATAAAACTGCTTTCCACCAATACCCTTCATGGAAAAAGCTTGTAAGGTGCAGCAGAAACTGAAAAAGTGTGTTGAGCAGTAGCTTCAGCTCACATTGCTGCAGACGTCTGAGCCGTGCTGCCCAGGGGTGGCTGAGGAGGGGAGAGCACGCTGCACGCCTCATCACAGCTCAAGCTGCCCCTGGACCAGAATCTGACGTTGTCTGTTGTGCTTCTCGGACATACAGCAGAAAATCTCACTGCGGGCAGAAGTCTGTTCTTGAGGATAGCAGTTTTACCTAATCACTTGCTTTAGGACAAAATTAAGTATTACAAAAAACTAACCAAGTTGTAAAGGCTACAAATAAATGGCCTGCTCCTCACACTTCATTCTTGATTCTATAAATGAGGCAGTCAAAGTAAAATTAGAGAGAGGGGAGAACTGAGCCCAAAGTTCTGTTGAGCCCATAGTGTTTTTAAGGTGAAAAAGCAGCCAAAGCCTCTGAATATTTCTTTCTTCAGCGTAACAAAAAACCAAATGAAATTAACGACAGTGACTGGTGTATCTGTCCAGCATATCGATTACATCGTGTAAAGTAGTAGGAGTTCTGAGTAAATCAGAATGTCATCGGCATCAGTCCTTGACTGAAGAAAACTCAGATACGAGATCATGGAAGATCCCAGTCAAGCCATAGAGTGGCTCCTGCAGTTGATCAGTGTAGTACCAACTGATCCACATGTACTTGCAAAGCTAGGGAGATTATATGATAATGAAGGTGATAAATCCCAAGCTTTTCATTATTACTATGAGGTACTTGCTCTTCATTGCTTTTCCAATGCACTTTGTCATAACTAAAGAAAATTTTGCTATAGGTTCCTATATCAAAGTAACAGTCAATTCATTTAAACTTTTAAAAAATGTCATCCAAAAAAGGAAAAAAAAAAAATAAAAAATTGGGGGGGAGAGAGAGTTGACAATATCTTATTTTTTGTAGTCAGATCCTAAGGAAATACATAACTTGTGTTTCCACATGGTATCTCACCTTGGACTTCTGTTTTTCATATGGTTGTTGTTTACATTAACCCCTAACAATTTCAGTTTCAAATACAGTCTGAGAGGAAATAAAAAATGGATATAATGTAATTTTAAAGGTGTGTAGCATGGCTGCATTGATTGGATATATCTGTATAATGGATATGGAGATACATAGATAGAATGTGATTGTGTTTGTAAATTTCTGTATATGTTTTTAATGGTATAGCTACACATTATGTATGCACAATTGCCTAAAGACAGGCACCCTCTCTCATTTCAAACCAGCTATAGTATTGTCTGTGGTTCGTAGAGATTCTTCTGTTTTAGAAACAGGAATAAGACAGAAAATTGCTCTGCTGCAATCTGAGAATTCTTTTCATCTGTGTAAAGCAAGGATGACCAAAGGCTGTGTTGCAATCTAAATACTAGTGGAGTTGTTCTTGATGATAATTTTGCTGCTTGTTTCAAGGGGAATGTCTAAAAATCCGAAAATGTTATTTACGTACATATGTGTTTCATAGAAACTAATTACCTTTAGGTGAGTTTTCCAGCAGACTGGTTTGCGTGTGGAGTTGTACATGTATTGGTTAGCGTTGTTTAACATTTTAGGTAACTTATTCATAGGTAGACGTGATCTAAGTAAACATTTTTGCTGTTGCAAACTATTTAAAATAGTATTTCAAATAAGGCAAATAAAGCTAGGTGGAAAATATTACAGACTTATCTCGGGTAACTTCCAAAAAGCATTCTGTAATTAGAAAACTTGGCATGCTTTTTTTTTTTTTCCCCAGGATTACTTAGTATAGCACACTACTTCTATTCATATATTACACATCTTTGGCATCTGGAGAATTAAAGACTTAAGTAAGATATTCCAGAAGTAACATAAAGATGTTGTTTATCACTAAAATTGTGTTTCACCTTTCCTGTTTTGTCAGTCATACCGGTATTTCCCTTCAAACATTGCGGTCATTGAATGGCTTGGAGCCTATTACATTGACACCCAGTTTTGTGAAAAAGCCATTGAGTACTTTGAAAGAGCAGCACTTATCCTGTAAGTCATCATTGGTTTATGCCTACTCAAATATTTTGTGATTAGACAGCTGTAAGTATACCTAGAGATAAATTAGTTGGATAACTTTGATACAATAAGTAAATGCCAGAGTTAAGAGTATGTGGGATATTATTTAATTTTCTCAACTTTCTGTTCATTTACAGCGTGTCTTTGCTCTTACTGTGCAATTTCAATGTTAAGTATGATCCTCCATTGGGCCCAAGGTAGTATTGGGTATTAGAATCTCTTTTCTCTATCCTCTGCAATTAAACACAGCTATGAAGTGGGGAACAACTCTCCTAAGCCATTAAGATCTCCTTCTCTATGGCTTTATGTGAAATATTTCCTTTCTGTTATTTTATCATGCAGTCAGGAGTAGATGAATGTGCCTTTTAGCAATTCTTGCTGCATTTCTCCTTTTCACAGAACTTCTAGTTCCATAAAAAGGATATTACAAATAAGAGACATAAGCAAAAATCTGCAGTGCAGAATTAACAATGGTCAGTAAAAATAAGTTGACAGATCAAATTCATCCTAATAGAGATATTTGAAATATATTGAGTTCAATTCAGCATCTTAATTGCTGCAATTTTCCTTTAGCAGGATATGGTGCACTTAAGAACGTGTATAGGCCACATATTTTATTTTAGATCAGAAAGGGAGTTTATCAAACAAATGGTTAATAAACAGAATGTAAATCTGTAATCTAGAGTTCAAACAGAATTCTAAAAAGACATGCATACAGCCTTTTTATGTGGAAACAAATATTTGTCTATATGTTCATGAATAATTTTGTGTTAATAGACAAACTAAAGTTCACTCCAACAAGTGTGGATTTCTCTATTTCGTGTTTTGGGAAACCTATCAAAAATCAGGCTAAGCAAAACTCAGTTATTGCTTGTCCTTAGATGATCTAAAATCAGACATTCTTCTTGTTCTGTGAATCTGAATGAACAAGAGAGCTTGTGAACAAAAATTTGTACAATATTATACAAGGAAAATTATACTGCAAGTAGGTTGTTAGAAGTTCAGTAAAAATACTAATTCTGGTTTTGAAATGGCTTGTGTTAGAGTAGACATTAATTATAGAAGAGATAATTTGAAGTTTAAATAAGGAATAAAAATTGACACAAAAATCAATAGAAAACCATAGACCTCACCCAATTGTGGTATAATTATAAAAAAATAGAGATGTAGATTAGATGAAAATACACACGAGACAGTTCACAGAAATCACAGTTCACCAGTTTGCCAGTATTCTTTTTAATGTAAATACTGGCCACCTTAATCAATTATATTGTAGTCAAGCTGTGAGATTGCATATGCTGGCATTCACGGCTGCCTTAGAAACTTGGGAAAGAAACAGCTGAAACTAAAAAGCATTATTTCAGTCTTGTTTTGGCAAAGATCTATGTATTTTATGCTTCATGTTGCATAAATGAACAGTCCATGTTTCAGTCCATGCATGAAACATGAAGTATGTGGATTGTAAAGTACTTATTCATCATTGGCATATGAAAGTCTTCATTATTATTTGCAGTTATACTCTATCTGTAATACAGGGAATTATTTCTCTGTGGGGTGAGATTGTTATTAGTGGATAACAGAACATAGATGTTTTGATGTTTATTTGGTGTTAAAAATAGAGTCTAGATATGCTAATTCATAAATGAATTTTGGGTTATAAATTGCTACTAACTGTAAATAAAGTTACATTTATATTAAAGTTATATATTTATATTTAAAGTTACATTAAAGTTATATTCAAGTTATTTATATATAAAGCTACATTAATTATAACTTTATTTTAACCGTGACCAGTATTTTTTAGTTTAACATTGTTTAGTGTATTCAGTGTTTTAATCACAATAATTACTTTTTAAATTGCATTCTGAGGTAACGTTAGACAATGAATTGAGAAACAGTTTTACATTATTTCACCAGCATGCACAAATCAGTAATGAAAAGGGTTGTGCAGCTAATGCTGGCTGCTGACAATTTGCCCGCTCTAGAATTTTCATACTGAACTGTGTAATGAACTGTATTACGGTGTCTGCTTGGCTGCCTTTATGGTTTGCAGGAGACATACTCAGCTGAAACTAAAAAACGTGAAGCAGCTGTCTTTCATAAGCTTGTTGGGCAACTAGCAGGCAAGCAAATTATTTAGAGTTAAAAATGGCCTGTGCCATTCAAGGAAAAACTGAAGAGAGTAAGTATGAAACTATTTTGAAAATGTTCACATACAGTGCTTTTGGGATGTGCTGCTGTTGCATCGTAAGCCACGTGTGCAAAGCGCTTTGGCCAATAGAGCACCATTACATTGTTAGCATGAAAATTTCCTAATTTTCACATTATCTTGTTAAGAATGAGGAAAGAGTCCAACAGTTTTGTTTTATGTGTTCAAACTTCTCCAATATTTTCTCTGACCATATCTGTCACCATTATGTGCTAAAATGAGAAGGACAGGTAGCAGCCAGAGTTCAAAGCTGTAAGTGAGGAGTGTGCTTCCTGGCAGGGATCACTTGGGCGTGCGAGGGACCCTACTGGTACTACTTTTGGACCCCTCACTACGAGAAGGATGTTGAGGTGCTGGAGTGTGTCCAGAGAAGGGCAACAAAGCTGGTGAAGGGCCTGGAGAACAGGTCTTACGAGGAGCAGCTGAGGGAACTGGGGTTGTTTAGCCTGAAAAAAAAGGAGGCTGAGGGGAGACCTGATCGCTCTCTACAACTACCTGAAAGGAGGGTGTAGTAAGGTGGGGGTCAGTCTCTTTGCTCTAATAACAAGTGATAGGACAAGAGGAAACGGCCTCAAGTTGTGCCAGAGGAGGTTTAGACTGGGTATTAGGGAAAATCTCTTTACTGAAAGAGTGCTCAGGCATTGGAACAGGCTGCCCAGGGCAGTGGTGGAGTCACCATCCCTGGAGGTGTTCAAAAAAATGTGTAGATGTGTCACTTCTGGACATGGTTTAGCGGGCATGGGGGTGTTGGGTCAACGGTTGGACTTGATGATCTCAGAGGTATCTTCCAACCTTAATGATTCTATGAGCCTGCGACACTGTTTCCAGCTTCCTCAAGAATACAGTTTAGCATTTTGTTCTACCCCATTGTTTGGTTCTGTACCTCAGACAAAGATCAGTGGTTCACATGTCAGATCTGCTAACGGTGTCTGGTGCGCAGAAGTGTGAGCAAGGAGAAAGACTCACACAGGACTACAAACGAGTAACATCGAGGCCTGAATACAGGAGCATGACACGGGTAAACTCTGTGTGAACTGAGGAGGCTAAATCCTTCCTGGGAAGGCATATGCTAGGTGAAAAATTTTAAGAGTACTTTAATAGTAAGTCTTTACCAATGCTGTGCAGATTATTTTGCTTATTCATTGTTTGGTAGTGTGCATAATCTTGTTTTGTTTATATGCAGACCAACACAAGTGAAGTGGCAGCTGATGGTTGCCAGTTGCTACAGGAGAAGTGGTGAGTTCTGTAACTTTTTTTTTTGTGGTTGGTTGGAGGTTTGTAACACTTTTTTGTAATTAGTTGGAGTGGTTCAGCCTGGAGAAGGGAAGCTTGGTGGGTATGTGAAGGGGGCTCGTAAGAAAGATGAAAGACTTTTTACCAGGGCCTGTATTGACAGGACAAGGGGCAATGGTTTTAAATGGAAAAGGGGTAGACTTACATTAGACATAAGGAAGAAATTTTTTAGAGTGAGGATGGTGAGGCACTGGAGCAGGTTGCCCAGAGAAGCTGTGGCTGCCCCCTCCCTGGCAGTGTTCCAGGCCAGGCTGGATGGGGCTTTGAGCAACCTGGTCTGGTGGAAGGTGTCCCTGCCCATGGCAGGGGGGGTGGAACTAGATGGTCTTTAAGGTCCCTTCTGACCCAAACCTTTCTGTGATTTGTTTTGTTTTGATTGATGTTTTGATTTTTTTTTTCCTTTTTGATCTTTCCTGTCTCATGTAAATACTAGACCTGAAGTTCATTTGAAAATTCAGTTACATATTATTTTGTTATGAATTTTCTGTGTGTATTTAAGAAAACATGACTCTTCTTTTAAGTCCAGGAAGTGTGCCTGCATTGATTTATGCATGAAACACTCCTTGTGCTGTTAAATAAGTAAAATAAAGATGACAGTACAGCATAAATGATCTGATAGGTTTTTTTAAAGGAATTATACTACCATCTGATCCAACATAAGTAATTCGATTTTAAAATTGCTTAATTCCCATTCCTTTTCAACAGCAGATATAATTTTTCTATATTAAAATAGTATTTGTGTTACACATCAAAAGATAGCCTTCATGTGCTGTATTTTTTTACTGGGAATGTAATACACCAATAAGCAAAATGGAAAGAGTCTAATCTTTCTGGGGTTTTTTCATCACCTATAAATGCGTTCAAGACACCTGATAATGTAAATGATACTCTTTTTTTCTTGCTGTCCCATTTTGTGACTCTCCTTTATGCTTCTTTAGAACTTCACAGACTTCTATAATAAATAAGTGCATTTTCTCACTCTGCTCAGTTACTTAATACAACAGTGAGAAAAGGAACAGAACCTAGGGAAGTCAGTGAATTAAGAACAGTCAGCACCACCCAAAACTAGACAGATTAACTGTTTTCCCAGGAAAGAAACAATGGGTTTGGCCGTTTTTTAGATCATTTATGATTCATGAGCAAAATTCCCAGCTTATCGTGTTAACACATAGCAGGTCAGTTTGATCTCTGCCTTGCATTAGGAAAATAAAAGGAGTAATACCTCAACACACTTTTGTGTCAGATTTTTTATGGATATGAGGTTTTAGATTCACAGGGTCTATCAGTCCTTTTCGTAATAATCAAGCTGAGCCAAAATTGAAGGCAAAATTCTTAAAGAATAATTACTTTGCTACCAGATCTGGGCAAAGGAGAGAAATACAGTTAGTATTCTGATAGAAGGAAGGACAGGTAGCGCTCAGCTGTTTCACATTTCAATTTGACCAATCCATACATTTGCAGCCTCAGGTAAGCCCTGGTATGTTTCATACAGCTTGTCTAGTAGTTGTGCCATAGAACAATGGGGTCCTAGAGGCAGGTCAAAAAAAGGCAGAAATCAGGAAACTCCTCTTCATTAATTCTGTTACTTAGAGAGTAATTTGGACTGCTTTCAGATGCTCTTAATTTTTACTATCAGTAATTAAAGAATGTTAAGTTTGGTTTTATCAAATTTAGTCTTATAATATCAAATCACGTACTCAAACTAAAAAGGTGAAGTGATTTTAAACTGTATCAGTTTCTCATTAGATATTCTTTTTTATGTTTGGATACGTGCATAGGAGATGTTTGCTTTGTTTGCAGGTAACTACCAGAAAGCTTTAGAGAAATACAAAGTCATTCACAGAAAATTCCCAGAGAATGTTGAATGTAAGTTGTTTCATTGACTGGTACAGCTATCAAAGGAGACTTTGTTACATTGAATATGTGTTAGTAGTTGTATGATGTAAGTATTTTTCATATGAAAATATTTTCATGAACTAACATTTTATTCATGCTAATGTTGCATGTTTTCTATGACAACATTAAAGTGTGATTTGAGAAGTAGTAAGGTCATGCTGAAGAAGAGAGACGAAAGTAAACTTTAACTGTAGAGGATTGGTTGAGTTCTTTCTCATATGTACTTCCTAAATTTTATAACTGTGTTACTTATTTAATCTTCCTTATGATAAAATATATGTATCTTTACTTCTAGTCCCTGCTAGTTGAAACTCCTGCTGTAAGTTTCTAGATATGAGAAAATCTTATTGTTAAGTTTTACCAAAGCCAGGCCTTCCAAAAGAATGTAGAGGGTGAGATTTTGTCATTGGGTTTTTAAGTGTAGTTGGTTGACGACTCTGGAAAATCCGTAGAGAATTTCAATCTAAACTACAGGAAACATAACTTTGAAGAGTAAGACATTTTGCAGAAACAGTCACACCTATACTCTCTAAGTGAAAAAGCCCTGTAGAAAATAGGGGTTGTCACTGGTTGCAGAAACATCCTCTTACACCCTACACTGTGCCTCAGTGATTCCAAAACATGAGGTTGTTGCCAACAAGCCTATGCTTTTGAATGTGTGGGAAGACATTCACTGTATTTTAAAATAAAATTGTATCATTCTGCTTTAACAAATGTACTGCTTTTTTAAAGAGGAATCGTACAGCTCTGTTGCACAAGAGAAATTCAGTATTACGACTCCTCACCGTTATATGCAAAATGTCATGTTCATATTGTTCACATGTATTTCAGAGGGCTAGAGTATTTGGTAAACCTTTTAGAATGCTAATAGTTTTCTGAATGTGGTTTCTACAGTTTATGAAACAGAGGCAGGAGTTAGACAAGACAATTTAACTGATTTGAAAGTTTTCTGCTGCTGAAACAGGTTTTTTTCCACTCATCACTTCCTGGCTCTGTGCTCCCAACCCATCTCCCTTATGCTTGTTCTGATGCTTATCTGATCCCTCAGTGAACCAGTTCAGCTCCCTGAACCAGCAGAAAACTAATTTGGCATGAAAAGAAAATAACATATTTGTGAAAGCAGTCAGGAGAGTAATGGATGATGTCATACGTGTTCCTGCTTCAGAGGCAGTTCTTTCAAAGGGATGTTGACAAACACGTAGGAATAGCAGCAATGTTTTCAGAGTTTGGTATAGCATCTAAGAGACTGTTTTGGGGGATTCTTTTGGTTCTATCATACAGTTATAGTTGGTCTTGGTGTCTGGTTTTGAGGTTTTTAATTCTATAAATACTAATCTTTAAAAAATCAACCACAGCAACAGGAATAAAACCAAATTGTTCTGATTCACTTGGCATTTGTAAAATTATTTTCAACAGAATGCTATTGATAGTGGCTCCCTGGTAATAACTTAGTATTGTTATTATGCTTTCCAGTTTCCAAAATATTTTGCAAATGTCAAGAGTTCTGAGCCGGAGGAGTTAGTATGTCTTGTGCCTTCTACATATATAAATGGTATTTGTACTGTTCTTGGATATAGACACTGCATCACAGAAAACCTTGAATTATTTGCAAAATATCACAGCTTCCATAGAGATACTGGACTAGAGTTACCTTGATTTCACAGTTCTTTGCATTGTTTGCCGTTCTGTATGTCCGGTTCTGTTAGGGTACACCTCTAGTTTGACCTGCTTGTCAGCCCTTTTATAACAGTGTTTTGCTTTTCAATTAGGCCTCCGATTTTTAGTTCGCCTCTGCACAGATATGAGGCTGAAAGAAGTCCAGGAATATATGACAAAGCTCAAGAAGGTGGAAAAATTAAAAGAAATAAGAGAGCAGGTAAGCTTGTTTCTTTCTGTGATTATACAGTATCACTACATGCATAGATGAAGCTAAAATAGTGTTTATGATACTTGAAGATAAAATGTGTATTAACTTCCTGGTTTGGGGAGGCTTGTGTTTTGTGTTTTTTCAGTTTTTAGCTTTAAATTACTGAGCAGCTTTACATCTGTCTGAATGGTTTCTGAGCACTGGACTTTCTGTGATTGTAAATACTAGTGAAAGATGGGTTATGTGGATGTGATGGGAATGATGGATCCACCCGCATAATTCAATGTCTCTGGAATGTCGTCTTTCCTACTTATTTGCCAGGCTGTGTAACGTGTATTTATGAGCCAAGTAATAGCGCAACTACAGGGAGAGAAGGGGTGCCTAAGAATTTGTCCATGTAGTAGAACTCCTTTTCGCTACCTACAAAGCTGCACAATTGACAGATTACACACGTAGAAGTGAATTATTCATGTTAGTGCCAATTTTTAAATGGAAAAGAAAAATTCCATGGAAAAGCCACAGGCTGTGAAAGGTATGAGGTCATAACTTGTGCCCTATTTAGAGGAGTGAGTCTGTGTGTGCGCATGTGCATGCGTCGTTTTCTTGATAATCCTGTGATAAAATAAGTTTTTAAAATTAAAATCAGCTTCTTGTTTGGAAAGTACTATCCGTGCTGTTGACCTGTGAACTGTTCAAGCTTGCTTTTCCTGTCCAGTGAATTGCCTCAAAGCTATATAGTCACATTAGGATACGTTAAGTCTTACCTAATTTACTCTGCTCCTAGTAACATTTACTTGGCTCCCTTTTGGTGTCAGATATTGTGTAAATGCATCCTTAGTTACTTCACTTTTACTTCAATTCCACAGTCTGAGTATGCACATGTATAGTAGGATATTTTAAAAATGAAACTCACAAAGGGAAACACTGATCAAAGAATCCAAATTTATGCTACAACCTTATTTTGGGGGGCTAGTTGAAGTACATTGGTTTGGATTTTCAGTAAATGTGAAATTTAAAACACTTGGAAAAAATGGACAAAAGAAAGCAGTCCACAAATGTAGTGGGGCTAATATTCCTCCATGTCTCCCCCATAATGGTAGCAGTAAGCAAACCAGGACCAGATACAACGTTCCTGTTCTGTAAAACTTGTAATTAAGGTATCTCTCTGAAGTGTGTTAAACAGGCTTTGCTTTGGTTTCTGGGGAATATCAGTTCAGTGTCAGTGATATATATAGTTCCATAGATCAAATACCTCAGTGGTTTACTGAAAGCTCAGAGATGAAACCAGTTAAAACTGGATTATTTTATAGTTGGTAAGTGAGAGAGAAAGGTCCCTGAAGATGGAGAGGTTATCTGTTTCCTTGCTTATAATAGCAGCATTTTTTACACTGAAGGTGTTAATTATGTACCATAGATCTGCAAATGTTGAGTATTCGAAGGAAAACACTTTTACTTTGAGAAAGTTAATGTTTGAATATGTAAAAAAATTTTTAAAGAATTTGTCATATCTCTTCCTGTTCATTTTATGTGTGAAGCAGGAGCTTTCCTGAATGTATTTCTGTACTTTCTGGTAGGGAAAAAGCTACCAGTAAAATATTTAAAAGATTAAGTTGTCCAAGTCATTTAAGATTTTAGTGACACAGAAATTACGTTTAAATTATGTGGGTTGTTTTTAATTCTGACTGCATTGTGTTAAGGGAATTCATCGAGTAGTACCTGAATGGCAAGGGAATCCAGCACAGATGCATGGTAACACAAGTTATTGCATAGCTGGGTTGGTCTAGACTGTTCAGACTTTAATAGCGATCATAATTTGGGCATGACACGGAAAGCTCACTCTGTATTAACCTCAGTGTTCCTGTGTAAGAGTCAAGTGACTCTATCCTGTCACAAAACTAACCTTGCAAAGCAGAGTCATAGAATGGGTTGCATTGGGTTGGAAGGGACCTTTAAAGGTTGTCTAGTTAACCCCTTCTAACACCTTCCACCAGACCAGGTTGCTCAAAGCCCCATCCAGCCTGGCCTTGAACACTGCCAGGGAGGGGGCAGCCACAGCTTCTCTGGGCAACCTGTGCCAGTGCCTCACCACCCTCATCATAAAAAAATTTTCTTTCCTTATGTCCAATGTAAGACTAGCCTCTTGCAGTTTAAAACTGTTGCCCTTTGACCTGTCACTATAGGCCTTGGCAAAAAATCTTTTCTGAAAATCTTTCTTACGGGCCCCCTTTAGGTACTGGAAGGCCGCTGTAAGGTCTCCCTGGAGCCTTCTCTTCTCCAGTCTAAACAAACCCACCTCTTTCAGCTTGTCCTGGGCGGAGAGTTGCTCCAGCCCCTGATCATCTTCGTGGCCTCCTCTGGACCCGCTCTTAACAGGTCCATGTCTTTCTTGTATTGAGAACACCAGATCTGGATGCAGTACTCCAAGTGGAATCTCATGAGAACAGAGTAGAGGGGAGAGTAAGGTATCTGTGATGGCACTTCTAATTATTCAAAGCATTAATGTAGATCTGCCCAAATATTTTCCTATAGCTGTTGCCCAGAAAAGAAAACAGGCTTTTAAATTCAAATAAGCCTGATTCTATTGTAATTTAAACTAAACTGATTTTCTTTTAAACTGAAATGCAGGAGGCTTAAAAAAAAACCAAACAAACCCAAACCAAAACAACACCCTTGCAGCTCCACAACACCAACAGAAATAAAACAAGTTTCTGGTCAGCTCTGTCAGCTTCATCCCTGCAGGTAGGCCCGTACTTGCAGCCTGAGTAAGCTCAGTGAGTTTCTAAATGGCAGCAAAATCCTGCCCCTGTGGTTCCTAGTGCATTCCCTTCTGACCCTCTGAAGCCTGATTGGTTGCTTTCTGCTCCTTCTTGCAGCTCCTTGTCATGGAGGGACACGCTCCCATCTTCCTCTTCTGGCTCTCTTGTCTGCCACACTCAAACATCTCCCAAGTTCCGTGTCTCCTCAAGGAACAGAACAGCTTTTTCTGCCCCCCAAGGAACCCACTGACCCAATTTTCTTAAAAATCAACACCATCATAGATGTAAAGGAACAAAGACTCTAAGAAAAGAAAGATGTTACAGAGTGCGCTGCAGTGCAGTGCGCTGCTGTCCTATGTTACAAGTTGAGTAGCTTTCTGTGACAGAATCTCAACGTCAATGCTGTCTTGCAAACAATAGCCCTGCAGTTCCTTTTTGCTATTGATATTACATCTGGGTTCTCATCCCCTGGTTTGGGGATTTTTTTGTTTGCTTCGTCAGTTTGTGTGTGTGTGGTTTTTTTAGTCTTACGTCTACCATGTGGCTTTGGAAATTACTACGTATTTTTGTCTCAAGAAATTCCTTCTGTCATCCATGAGCATATAGTCATAAACTATACTTCCAAGTTCTAAAATGACCAAATTTTAATATTTCACCACCTAAGTTTCCAATAGAAACACTGGTTTCAGTTAGTAATACCAGTTATAGTTCAATTCCTGCTCCCAGACTACCCCATGGCTTCTTGATTGCACTCAGTAAAGAGAAAATAGATAATTGCTAGTGTGATATACCTACATTTCAAAGTCTGCAAACAGACTTTGTCTTCCTGTAGAAATTTATCAAAATTTGCTATTCTGGCATTGTTTTTCCAGAATAAGTATATCCACATGGAGTTTATACCAAAATAAATATTCTGGAGTATTTATTTCACTCAGTTCTCAAATACGGACAAGTTGTTAAATGCTTCCAGCCAAGAATCTGGGAACATCTGTGGGGTTCATTCCCTGTAGAAATTTGTCTCCCTGCCTCTCACAGCATTGGATTTCTACTGGAGCCTTCATATGTTGGTGGTTTTTTGGGGGGGGAGGGGTATTGGTTTTTTTTTGGTTGGTTGGTTGTTTTTTTTTACTGCATTAATCTTTCTTTTCCATGTTTCAGTTTAAAAAAGACAGGTAATAGTGTAAAAGTTTATACAACCTTCTTGGTACTGATAGATACACACATTACTATTTATTTCCGTTAAGTGAACTTAATGACTGAAAATGAGGGGGTGATTGGGTGTGGTGTGAAGCAGTGATGATAGGTGCAAACACTGGGGCAGACTTACTGCCTTTACCTTCAGGCATCTACATCTGGACTAATCATCCTAAATGTCTTTTGCAGTCTTGGGAGACAAATAGGCATTTTTAGGATGGAAATCATTGGACCTGTTTTAAATGTCTGCTTTTAGTATGGGATGGCTTATAAACTACTCTCTTGGAACTTTGCAGGAATTAGTCATATGCTTAAGCTGTAGTACTTCACAGTATCTTGGAAGTTAAGTCCTAGGATGTAAATGCCATGAGCACACTATCATATAGGGACCGCTTCTCTTGGGCAGACAGAAGCTGAGCTTCCACTGGCAGACTTGTCAATCATTCAGCATTTGGAGAGTCTGAACGTGCTTCCTAAAGGAACAATATATGCTGCTTCACTGGCCTGTGAACAGGGTATTTAATCCAAAATTCATAGAACATATTTTAGACTTGAGGATTTCCCAAATTAAATAAAAAATATGAGAAATTCTGGTCCCAGACTGGATCACTCCAAGCCCATTGCTGGTTTCACGCTTTCACTGCTTTCCTGTGAGTTTTAAGGGTCCTTCCTTTTTCTGTTGGCATGAGTCTTGAAAGTTCTTTCACTTCTGTGTCATTCCAACTTTGCCAGACTCCATGAGGGTTTTTTTCTGATGAAAAATAAATGAAGAAGCTACAGTAATTGACTTGAACACATGGTTCGGTAGTGTGCACGTGTATTTGAATCAGACCCTGAATTTATATGTTGAAATAAGATTCAGAGATTACTTTATTAACAGCTGAGTGCTTTAAACACCAAGTTTTTGTACCTAGCCATCAAAAAAGTCCCTCACTGAGATGTGCTTTCTAGTAACTGAGGAGATATATGCATGAGAAATTTGGTGTTTTGCCAAATCTGTGTGTGCTACAGAGGTATTGCTTTGATAAACTGTTAAAGTTTTCAAACAACACTACAAAAAACACAGCTGGGAGACGTTTATGGTACCTGCCTCAGTGTGAGAGAGCTGACTTTCTAAACACGGCTTTTAAAGTATTTACCTTCACCTTTATCTTGCATTTAACACTCAACAGCAAATTAAATTTTGCTGTGAAGTACAGTGCTGTGCCAAGTATTCAAAATTTAAGATCTATGGGGTGAATAGTTCTTTTTATAGATTTCCCTACTTCCCCTCCTTGAATCTTTACAATAATAAAACGCTTGTGGGATTTACAAGACGTTAATAGGCAGAGGCTACTTTGAACTCCTGCGAGGAGGGCTATGTTGCCTGTTTTTTCAGCTGCACTGTACAGAGGTACATCTGAACTATTTTTATGCACATTCCTTGTATAAATTTTATCTGATGAAAAATAATTCATTGAGATATTCTCTTTGAATTTCATAGAACTCTTGTTTTATGTAAATACTGGATTTAACACTGATTTTAAGGACAATTTTGTGCATTGAAAAAACAAGGTTTATTAGTGACAGTATAGTAAGCCTAGTTTAAAGTTGTTCTACCATTTTATTAATAAGCTAATTTGAGTTTTCAATAATTATCTCTAATATATATTACTAAATGGGAGTTCTGTTCTGTTCCTTTCAAACCTTTTTCACTGTTCTCCAGCGCATTAAATCTGGCAGAGATGGCAGTGCACGTAGCCGCAGAGAAGGAAATGCTGGTAGTGGTAAGTACTTAATGCCTCTGCTTAAATACCAGATTTGTCAGGATCCTAAAGCAAATAGTTTTTCTTAAACTGTTTGTAAAACCTCCTTACATTCCGAAACGCACGCAAATATGCACTGAGTAATATCGAAGTACTTCCCAAATTTTGTTTCACACTTTTTGATTATCTCATTGCTGTATGAAACCTCAGCCAGTGTAGTAGCATGGATTTGGTCTGATTTGTGCTTTATATACAGATCTCAGTCAGTTCCTAAAGCTAAATTTCTACTTGTTTTCAATACTGTGGACTTGAACATTTTCATCCCGTTAACTCTGGAGTATTTACTATATGGAATCATTTGTTATAATAAAACAGAGCATGTAAGCCATGAAAAGCAGGACTTCATTGTGTCTTTATTTAACATGGAGGAAAGGGAATGTTGTGCCCACTATCTAGCCTGTACCATTAGGTGTTTGTTACAAGTTTGAGAGGCTATTTTGTGCAACCAGCTCTGTAATAAGGAGAAGACAGCTGTACTGTCTTTGAGCCCCTTCCCCTTTTCCCAGTATAGCAGCATTAAAGTATTAAGAGTCCTCCATAGAGGAAAGCTTGTTCTCTGACTCCTAAGTCTCTCTGCTCTCTAGATTTACGATGCTGACTTTCATAAATGTAAAACTCTATCAATGCAAGTCTGGAAACTGGCCTGCTTTGTCTTTTCTGCGTCTTTTCTGCACTAGGTAGTCTGCGTATTGCAGAGCTAATGATTTTTCCCTCCCATTATTAAATCCATGAAATGTTAGTAATGTTAAACCTAACTGTTCC